GCAGCTCATGGCAATCGCGAAGGTAAACCCAACTCCGTTGGTAATATTGGATCATGACCATATAGGAGTTTATATGGTGAAGCACCAACAGAACTCTGCACCTCTGTGACATATGCATACCGAAGAGACGGCAAATAACCATCCCAATCCGAATGCTGAAAGTTCACATACTTCACAATCATCCCCTTGAATGTCAAAACGAGTCGTTCCACCAGACCGTCTGATTGTGGATGATAAGCACTTGTGAAAGTGTGGTGTATTCCCAACCGAGACGTCAAAACATGAAATGCCTCAGCCATAAATGCAGGACCATTATCCGAAAGAATCTGCTCTAAACAAGAATGCTGGAAAACCACTCAATTGAGGAGGAAGTATTCAATAGCAGTTGCAAAGGCGCTAGCAAAAGCACCAACTTCCACCCAACGAGTCAAGTAGTCAGAAGCAATAATAACATACTCATTACCAACAGTCGACCGTGGAAAAGGTCCCATAAGATCAAATGCCACCAACTCAAATGGATGGGAGACTACAATTGACTCCAACCATCCTTTTGCAGCCCAAGGGGGAGTATTACGAGCTTGGCACCAAACGCAGCTACACACATACTAGATAATATCATGTTGCATCTCCGGCCAATAGAAAGACCTGCGTAGCTTCTTAGTTACACGACGATGTCCCATATGCCCACCTAGAACAGGAGAATCATGGTAGGCATGGAGAAACTGCGGAATAAAGACAGAAGGCATCACTAGCCGTAAATGATCATTAGGATCCGTCCCCACAAAATAAAGAAGGCCGTCTTCAAGGCAATGCAGAAACTAATACTCCCATCAGGCTTCGTCACAAGATGAGGTTCACATGCCCAAGGACTCCGCGACTTCTGAATAACACCCTTCTTTAACATCTCTTTGACATTTGCACGTAAAATCTTGATCTCCTTTGGTGACCAACGACGACCGGGAACCTTGATCGGACGAGCATCCCCGGTTGGAATTGGATGATGTGTGGCAATCTTGGCCCCAGACAATAGGTCAAATTCAAAGAGATCAGAATACTCTTTCATGAGCCGGTCCACCGCTGCAACACAAAGATCGTCAGAGGGATTGGAAAAGGGAAGAGCAGAACAAAATAGAAACATAGGAGGAAATAATGGGGGAACAAAAATAATGGAAATAGAGGTAGAAGTAAAGGGACAAAGAGGTACAAAAGTGAGAGGAATGGATGAAACATAAGGAAGTATGAGACAAGGGGGAAAAGCCTCAAAGTCACACTTGGCATGATGGTGTTGCAACCAATCCATACCAAGAATGAGGTCAAAAGCTTGACTCGGCACCACCTGTAATGACTGCAACTCAAGCTCGAGATCACCCACACGCACAACCAGGTCTGCCTCATCCCGTGCACATGCATATATACGGCCATTGCCATAAAGAATGAAAACTGGTTCTGCCACACAACGCAAGTGTAGACAACAACGTGTGGCAATAAGTCGAGCAATAGAAGATAAACTCGAACCTATATCAACCAACATGGAGAAAATAATAGGAGACTTCTTGTTATAAAAATGAGCTTGGAAAGTAAACACTAGATGAACCGGTGCTGAGTGAACCCCTTGATGATACTCCCAAAAGAAAGATGGAGGGATCACTGACTTATTCACGCAAGGTCCCTCCGTTACTCTCACGACTCCTCGTTTCTCGGATGCATCTCAGTGTCCAAACCTTCCACTGTAGCAGCACCAACGGGACGTTGCTGACACCAAGGTCTCCACCCAGGAAATGGAGGTCGCCAGTCCGGAAAACGCCGACAATGCTGATAAGTATGACTAACTTCATCACACACCCAGCACTGAACATCACAGCCACGACCATATCCTCACCCTTGTCCTTGGACTCAAGCAACAGTAGCATCAACCTCCATTGGAACAGGACCATCACTCATAGGAAGTGGAGCTGAAGGACGTGTAGTGAGAAGTGGAAGAGGCAACGTCTCATAACGTTGTGCCAAGCGAAGAGCATCGTCAAGGGTGGTGGGAGCAAGTGCATGCACAAGTCTGATAAGATCTTGACGAAGTGCTGGCCACAATATTCCTAGTTTGATCCACTCCGACATATTGGGCTCTGCACGAAGCAAAAGACTTTGGAATGGAACGCCAAATTACATTACTGACTCAGATGGCCTTTGGTAAAGATGATGCAATTGTTGGAAGGCATTATCACAGTCGTCGGCATGGCCAAAGGCACGTTTGAAGACGTCTGGGAAAACACTCCAATCCCCACGAGTGGTTGCGCTCAAACCATTGTACCATTGCAACGCCGTTCCTTGGAGACACGTGGGAAACTCTTGCAAATGTCAAGCATCATCCCAAGAATGATATGTGGCAATCACCGTGAAGTGATTGAACCAATGGTACACATCATCCTCAGGATTCCCACGAAAGAACTCTAGCCGAACGCAAGGATTGGCACCAAGAGGAGGAAGAGTTGTACCACGTGTCGTGAATGCCACCATCAATTGAGTTTGGTTGTTCAATTGCAAGCGCATAGCATCAAGCAATTGGACCAATTGTTGCTCCAAAGTCAAAAAAAGACATTGTTGATCTGCCATGAAGATGAACGAAAAAGAAAGAGCAAAAGAAGAAAAATGACAAAAAGCTAGAAGGAAATAGTAGATCTAGACAATGCAAAAAGCTAAATCTAAACCAAAATCTAAAATTCAAGCACTCTTCAGGGACAATCAAAGATGCCCCTCAACTCCACCAATTTGAGTGCTTGGAATATGGAAAGAGAATACAGAAAATATGCATATTAATTAGCCAAAAAACCCTAGTTTATATATAAGAGCGAGTGGTCCAGATTGAAATCAATCCGTCGGCTACCAAAATCCCACTACGTTAATATTAGTATATAGCATCATAGCCATACACTTAGCCCTCACAGATGATAATGCAAAACCTCTATTAAATAGCAAATATTGCTATTAAGAATAGATACTGGTAGTTTACACAAATCTAAATATTATTAAAATTATTAATTTGGTTTAAAATACCTATTTAATAAAAATATTACCACTAAAATCTTAACAAAATATTCTTTAGTGTGCCAAAATAATCATAAAATATTCTTTTCAATGGTATTGATATGGTTCCCTATATTGGCAGATCCAACCAGTTAAGAGGTTGAAAATTTACATCACTCTAGACATGGAGCTTGTTGTCAATGGTGTTCTTGCTGGATTACTCTTGTTTCTCTGGTCTATGGCTTCTTTGTCTATCACCTGTGGAGGCCCCGAGTTTTCGAGATCATGTCTGCCGAAGGGATCACTGGGCCTCCCCAGACAGATTTCCTACCACGGACATGAAAGAAATCACCCACGACATTGTTCCACAAGCGATTCCAATCTACAGCGCTCTCTTCAAGAAGTGTGGCAAAGTTTGATGTGGATGATCTTTGGCACAATTGATATATACTATGTCTTCGGCAGGAGCGGTACACATGCACTGGTGGCGTGTGGAGTCTCTTCTGGATCTCGCGGATATGAATCTCGCAAGGTTCTCATCAAAAGCTCAGACTTTTTCGGAAAATCCCCTGTCCTGGCGAGGATGGCCAACGACATTTTCGGTGGTGGTGTCTTTGACGCCAGCGGACGGGACTGGGTGGAGCAAAGGCGCATTGTGGTGCCTGTGTTCCACGCTGACAAGATCAAGGTGTATAGAATCTCGATTTTTACATGATCTTCATTCATATCTCCGGCTAACTGTCTAATCAGGACATGGTGAGAACCATGTACGAGCACACACAACGCTTCCTTGAGAACTGGGAGACGCTGGTTCGAAATGGCGGCGCTGGAGAGAAAACTCTCGATGTTTTTCCCGAGTTTGTAGATCTCACAGCACGCATCATCGGGCAACCCGGGTTTGGGGCCAGTTCTAGCACCTCCATAGCCATTGTCAAGCTCCTGCGTCTCTTGCTGGCTTTGCAAGCGCGGCAAGCCAAATATGTATGGGTATTTCCATTCATCAGGTAAGCTTTGTTAGATCATTTCATTAAAACAAAACTCCATCCTCCATGGCAGGAGTCTCCCATTTCTTCCTCTGAATCGGGAGAGATGGAGAACCAAGAGAGAAATCCATCGCTTGCTCCGTGCGGCGATTGATTCCCGTCAGCTCACACGCGCAAAACCAATGCTGCCTCTCACGGAAGTGACTTGCTCGGCACGATGCTCGACAGCAACTGGGACGAGGAGCTTATCATCGCCGAGAGCAAAACCTTCTACTCTCGCTCACTTCATTATACTCGTGGGTGATGCTCCTCCTGGCCATGAATCCAGAGTGGCAAGAGAAGGCCCGAGTGGAAGTCTTGGAGCTTGTCGCGAAGGAGGGGCCCTTGGACAACGCAAAAGCACTAGAAAGGCTCAAGCTGGTACGTAGAGTTCTCTAGTATAGTTCGTTTTCTCCACTTTGTAGTATTGTCTTTTACACAGGTTGAGATGCTGATCATGGAAACGCTGCGACTCTATCCTCCGATCCCAATCATCCCTCGAGTAGCGCTCAAAGATTGCTACGTCGATCACCTCTTCATACCAAAAGGGCTGGCAGTATCCGTGCACAATACCGTGATACAACACAGTGCCGAGATGTGGGGAGAGGACGCAAACGAGTTTAATCCCGGTCGCTTTGCAAATGGGAGCGTGGCAGCGTGCAAGCATCCCATGGCTTTCATGCCATTCTCGTTTGGAGCGCGAGCTTGCATCGGCCGAGTTTACTCCCAAGTCCAGGCCAAGATCGTCGTGGCTTTCCTGTTGCAGCGATTCCGGTGGAGCATGTCACCTGATTATCGTCATAACCCCATAGTTGCCGGGACTTTGGTTCCCAAGAACGGAGTTCCAATTGTATTGACGCTGCTTGGCGCTAAAGGAGATTAGTTCTTGGAGTTTCTTCTTGTCCAATATGCCAGTCTTGATTCGCTCGGAAAATACTAAACTGTAGTTGGCACATCATAGCCAGGAAGTCAGCACTGGAGTGACATCTCATCCTCTCTCCTTGGCCTTTAATATTGTCAGTTTGGCAAAGCATGGATAGTTTATAGATTGCTCTGCGCAAATTGTTAGTATCTTACATTGTTACAGACACTTACAGATCGGTGCGTTTTTCTTGTTTTTTCTTTTTCTTTTCTTTTTTTTCCTGAAGAAGGAAAACGTCTGTCAGTGGTGAGGGAATGAAACGAGTAGGAGAGCTCTTACCGCTGGAGGAGCTTTTAGACTCGTGCTACTTCCCCCATCTCGACAGTATCAGGAGGCCAACGATCGAGAAACACAACGACGCAAATGCCGCAACGACAAGCATGAAAGCAAACGCTTTACTGGGTAAGTTGAGAAGCTTTTGCATTTTCTTGAGTGCCCGGTCGAGAAGTGGTGCCAATGCCGCTGCTCCGGCAACTCGGAATGGTCTCGTGACGTTGTTCCCAGTCCACATTAGCACAACGATCTGGAACGAACGCATAGAAGATTGTAGCTAAGAGCTTAGAAAATACAAGGAAGAAACTCTTACGCCGAGCAGTGCCTTGAGGTTGGCGGCTGGATTTTGTCCTGTGCTCTTCTCGTATCCAAGGAAAGCTAGAACAAAGAACGTTGTGTATGTGATTCCATCAAAGAGACCATAGGCAAGAACTGCGGATAATCCCAGCGCCGCTACTTTTGCTCGCAATGCTGTCGCGTCCATCTGTTCAATCGTGCGTTAAATCTCTGAAGAATGTCTAGCAACAAAGAACGTACAAAGAGCAAAGAAATTCTCACTTACAAGTAGCCAAGAAAATCGAAGTTTGTCGACTCAAAGACTACAAAGAAAGAAGTTTTACTTTTGGACGACGAAAGAAGAGTGTAGCTCTAGCTATGGACGAAGAACAAATGGGAGAACGAAGAAATAAATTCTAGCTCAAAAGAGACTTGAGACAGACGAAAAGAAATCGTTACCTGCCAGAGATTGGATCCCTGTGGCGATTGCTGCTGTGGATCGATCCCTCCAGCCGACGCTCCTGGTTGATCTTCTTGTTCCGGCATTCCCGATTCAGCACCAGCGACGCAAAATCGCGCTGTGATCGGATGCGATCCAGCAAGCGCTAGGCGTTGGCGCGTCAAAGAATGCCCGCATTGCAATGTGGAGTAGAATCGAGAGGAGAGAGGGGAGGGAGCGAGCAAAATCAATGCCGCCATAGCCAAAAACCCCCCCGAGCTTTAGGGTTTTAGGGAGATTTCTAGGGCGTAATGTTCCGCGCCTTGCTCTCGGTAAGCTCTTCTCTCTCGCCGCGATCACTCACGGATTCCGCATTCTCCAGACGGTGTTGCGCTCCTCCTCCACCTCCTCGTCCTCCTCCTTAGGCCAGCATTGCTGCAAATGGATCCAATCCAGGCACATTGTCGCTGCGACGCGAGGTAAAGAATGTGGCACTTAGATCGTTCGCGATGGATCTCTGCGCTGTAATTTCTTCTTTTATCCAGGAGAAATGAGAGATGTAGTGCTGCCAGTCACGAATTGGGAGCAAGAGGACAAAGGGACTGTGACGATCGCTGGAGACATTTTCGACGTTCCAATACGCAAAGATATCGTTCATCATGTCGTCAAGTGGCAGAGAGCTAAGAGACGTAAGGTCAGCTTCTATAACTTTCCTTCTCTACTTCTCTTGTTCTTCTGTTAGTTCTGCCTGGTTCTTACGCGTTTTCTTCGTTCTTCCTCCTTTCTTCTTACAGGGAACCCATAGTACGAAGACTAGAGGCGAAGTAGCGGGCTCAACGAGGAAGATACACAAGCAAAAAGGGACAGGAAAAGCTCGGCATGGTAGCAGGCGAGCACCTCAAGTGAGTCTTTCTTATTCCAGCTTTGAGTTGTCATTCCCTTCGTGTGTATTTTCAGTTTAGAGGTGGAGGAGTGGCACACGGTCCCAAGCCGAGAAGCTACGAGTACAAACTCAACAAGAAAGTCCGAAGGCTCGGATTGAAAATCGCTCTGTCCGCACGGGTGGCTGAGCGCAAGGTTGGAAAAAACGGTTTCTTCCTTTCTCCTTGGACTCATATGGCTTGGTGTGTGACTCGCAGCTGATGCTATTCGACAATGTTGATCTTCCAACTCACAAAACGCGACAGCTCATGAAGCTCGTTCCAAACTTGGGCTGCCGGAGAGTGCTGATTGTGGATGGTGTGGAGAAGATGGGGCGAGAGATCACGCTCGCTTGCCGAAATGTCAAGGAAGTTAACGTCATCCCAGCAAAGGTGCGTTATGCCGTCCCTTCGAGATTCGTTCGGAGAAAACAAACTTTCTTTCGTGCAGGGATTGAACGTTTACAGCATTTTATTGCACGACACTCTGGTGATGTCCGTGGCAGCGGTGAGGGAAATCGAAGACCGTCTTCACACACCCATCAACAGATAGTACTGGCAAATTGTTTATTTTTACTTTTGAACTTGTACATTAATGCAGATCCCAGGTCTTGCCATCTTCTAACTTTGAGCCAAGTCATCAAGGGGATCAAGTTTAAGAGTGGAGCAGCGTCAATACGACTGGAACTTGGAACCAAAGTCGCGGCAACTATGGGGTTGTGACGATAATCAGGTGACAAGCTCCACCGGAATCGCTGCAGCGGCCTGGACTTGAGAGTAAGCCAGACCAACGCAAGCTCGCGCTCCAAACGAGAATGGCATGAAACTCAAGGGATGCTTGCAACGCTGCCAAGCTCCCATTTGCAAAGGGATCGGGAATAAAGTCCGGGACTGTGTTGTATCACGGTATTGTGCACGGATACTGCCGGCCCGTTTGGAATGAAGAGGTGGTCAACGTAGCAATCCTTGCGTGCCACTCGAGGGATGATCGCCATTGGAGGGTGAAGTCGCAGCGTTTCCACCTGCGTGAAAGACAATAGTATAATGCTGAGAACACTATTGTCTTTTGTATTATACCTTGAGCTGTTCTAGTGCTTCCCTCTCGCGAAAACTCCCACGCGGCTTTCTCCTGCAGGCCAGGAGCAGCATCACCCACGAGTATAACGAAGTGAGCGAGGCGTTCCTGGTTATGTAGAAGGTCTTGCTCTTCGCGATGATAAGCTCGTCGTCCCAGTTGCTGTCGAGCATCGTGCCGAGCAAGTCACTCCCCGTGAGAGGAAGCTCCAATTTTGCGCGTGAGAGCCCGCCGGGAACCAATCTCCACACATCTCTTGCGATTCAGAGGAAGACTCCTGCCATGGAGGATGAAGTTTTGTTTATATATAAGAACGTGAACTTACCTGTGCCGTAGCAATAGACGCAGGAGCTTGACAGTGGCTATCGAGGTGCTAAAACTGGCCCCAAACCCGGCTTGTCCGAGCTTCACAAACTCAGGAAGATCATTGAGAGTTTTCTCTCCGGTGCCAGCATTTCGAACCAGCGTCTCCCAGTTGTCAGCTTTGGGTGTGCCTGGACATGGTTGCCACCATTCCCTGCAAAGATCTGGATCATGACACTCTAGATCTAGACTGATTCGAATGATCTTGTCAGCGTGGAACGGATGCCCCTGGAAGATCGTGGCCACTACCGTGAGGTTGCGAGCACCATCTTGGATTTTACGGATGTCTACCGTGAAGCGATGGGAGTGCCATGCCGAAGGCAATCTCCTGTGCCTTGCCGGGCAGTGCCGCGATCGTTACAATAGCATTTTGACGAAGGTAGCGAGCCTGGATCGCGGCGAGTGGTTTTACATCCGTGGGGAGAATTAACAAGAGTGGCTGCGGCACGAGAGAGGACGTGCATTGCAGTCCAGGGTCAGGCCCGCTGGTGGAGGCGCTCTCAGGATGGAGGAGGTGGCGGGGCACAAGGAGGAGCAGCTAGAATTTCTAGAAATACAGAGGATTCGGAACCGGAGGATGGTATTTGACGGAGGCACGCGAGGACATCTTCTTATTGAATGAAAACAGTAACGAAGAGTTGATCATCAATTCAGGTTAGGATCTCTCTCCCGTTGCCTTCATTCCATTTGTAACGATGGTTTTGGAATCCAGCAGCTTCAGGACAATGGGAACTCCGTTCTTGGGGAGCAAAAGCCCAGCAGCCACAGGGTTGTGACGATAATCAGGTGACAAGCTCCACCTGAATCGCTGCAACAGGGAGGCCACAACGACCTTGGCCTGGACCTGAGAATACGCCCGACCAACGCAAGCCCGCGCTCCAAACGAGAATGGCATGAAAGCCATGGGATGCTTGCTCGCTGCCAGGCTTCCATTTGCAAACCGACCGGGATTAAACTCGTTTGCGTCCTCTCCCCACATCTCGGCACTGTGTTGTATCACGGTATTGTGCACGGATACTGCCAGCCCTTTTGGTATGAAGAGGTGGTCGACGTAGCAATCTTCGAGCGCTATTCGAGGAATGATTGGGAACGCAGGATAGAGTCGCATCGTTTCCATGATTATCATCTCAACCTGCATGAAAGACAACAGTATAATGATGAGAGCAGTATTGTTTTTGTAGAAACAACGGACCAGCTTGAGCTTGTCTAGCGCTTGTGCGTTGTCCAGGGGCCCCTCTCTCGCGACAAGTTCCAAAACTTCCACTCGGGCTTTCTCCTGCCATTCTGGATTCACGGCCAGGAGCAGCATCACCCACGAGTATAACGAAGTGAGGGACATGTGCCCGGTTGTGTAGAAGGTCTTGCTCTCGGTGATGATAAGCTCGTCGTCCCAGTTGCTGTCGAGCATCGTACCGAGCAAGTCACTCCCGTGAGAGGCAGCACAGTTCTCCCGCGTGAGAGCCCGCCGCGAATCAATCTCCACACGGAGCAAACGATGGATTTCTCTCTTGATTCTCCATCTCTCGCGATTCGTGGGAAGGAATGGTAGACTCCTGCCATGGGAGGATGGAATATGAAATAATCTCATAAACGTTGACTTACCTGATGAATGGAAATATCCACGCATATCTGACTTGCTGCCATTGCAAAGCAAACAAGAGACGCAGGAGCTTGACAATGGCTATGGAGGTGCTGGAACTGGCCCCAAACGCGGCTTGCCCAATGATGGGCGCAGTGAGCTCCACAAACTCGGGGAAAACGTCGAGAGCTTTCTCTCCAGTGCCGCCATTTCGAATCAGCGTCACCCAGTTCTCCAGGAAGCTTTGCGTGTTCTCATACATGGTTCTCACCATTCCCTGTAAAGATCTGGATAATCACACTCTAGCTCTATGACTGGTTTGAAGGTCGAGACCTTGATCTTGTCAGCGTGGAACACAGGCACCACAACGCGCCTTTGCTCCACCCAGTCTCGTCCGCTGGCGTCAAAGACACCACCACCGAAAATGTCGTCGGCAATCATCCCGAGAACAGGCGATTTCCCGAAAAACTCCGGACCTTTGAGGAGTGCCTTGCGCATGAGATCGATATCCGCAAGTTCCACCCGAGGCTCCACGCGCCACCAATTTATGTGTAGCGGTCCTGCGAGAGAATGATTTCAGAGAGAGAAGAGAGTGATCGATGGATCGATCTTTTACCGCATTTTTGCAAGCGTGCATGGTGGAATGGAATCGCGTGTGGAACAATGTCGTGACTTACTTGCTCCATATCCGGGAGCTCCCAGATTTGCGTGAGGAGATTCTTCTGGGGAGGCCCGGTGACCCCCTGGGCGGACATGACCTTCTCCAGAACCTTGGGCCTCCACAAGTGGTACACGAGGAAACTACAGCATTGGAACCAAAGGATGAGGAGCAATCCCGCAAGAACAGCAAGTAGCACAAGCCACATTTCCATTGCCAAACGTTTCCTTTCCAAACTGATCCAAGCCCCGCGAGACTTAAGGCTTGGCCATGACAAAATTATTTTAATCTGATGTCTACGTTCTACGTGTTGAAGTTTGAACTTCAAACTACAGCTGTAGGATTCTAGAAGAATTTCGCGATGATCCAGACACATGCATCCGAATAAAGAACAGGTACTATCTTTGCTTGGTTAGGTTTTAGTATGACAGGTTTATTCAGGTTTATTAGGTTTTATTGTCTTGCAGTGGGTTTAAAGCAATAAAAAATTGATGGTTTTTTGACAAGTTTATCATCAAGGCTCAGGACAAACACCTTGAATCACAAGAAGAAGATGTCCTTGTATACCTCCTCCCAAAAGCCAGTTTCTTTGATCCTCCGTTGCCGGATCTTGGGAATTTCTAGGTGCTGCTCCTCCCCAGTGCGCTTGTGCCCTCCTCCCCGAGAGCGCCTCCACCGGACGGCCTGACGAGCGAGGGGCGGTAAACAACCCACCTAAAGAAACACTCTACGTTTTGAATTGCGAACAACCCTGAATGACAACACAGTTAATCGCCAGTCACATCATGGAAAGAATGAACACTTTCTCAGGAAGATCTCAACACTTGCTACTGATGGGCATTGTGATCGTGGCGGCAATGCCCACAGTTTTGAGGAGAGGGGTGATTTATCAGGTTCCTCTTCAGATCAAGCATGAAAAGCTTATTCCTTGATCACTTGGTGGAGCTGAGGAGTCCACTGACAACATGATCGTATACCAGTCCGTGCTGTGCAATCACGAGCGTGAGTGTGGAACTCAGGATCGATGAGAAGGAGCTGCTGGAACTCCAAGATGAGCCACTACTGGTTCCAGTGCTCCATGCTTAGAGTGCGAGCTACTTACGAAGGCAACTCTGGACACAGCAGTTCACCACAACCAACCCAGGGTGAGTAAGTGAGACGATCTGATCTCTAGGATGGATCAGATCGAGGGGGAGTGTTGGAGCAGGAATCAAGGCGTCAAGGTGAACTACTATAGAAGACTGTATACAACAAGCATTCAACAGTAGCTTTTCCCGTTCCAAGAGCGGTATTGTCTTTCGTAGAAACTACGTACCAGCTTGAGCTTGTCTAGCGTTTTTGCGTTGTCCAAGGGCCCCTCTCTCGCAACAAGTTCCAAAACTTCCACTCATGTATTTCTTGTTCAGCTCAAGAACCACGGCATTCACACCGAGGATGTGATGAGGTGCGCTCTCGAGTTCTTCAACTCGCCCGGGCTTTCTCTTGCCATTCTGGATTCACGGCCAGGAGCACCATCACCCAAGAGTCAGTTGCTGTCGAGCATCGTACCGAGCCAGTCACTCCCGTTAGAAGCAGCATAGTTCTCCCGCGTAAGAGCCCGCCGCGAATCAATCTCCACACGGAGCAAACGAATAGGCGGACATGAACCTTGGGCCTCCAAGTGGTCTACAGCATTGGGACCAAAGGATGAGGCAAGAACAGCAAGTAGCACAAGCCACATTTCCATTGCCAAAACGTTTACTTTCCAAAGTGATCCAAACCTCGCGAGACTTGAGGCTTGGCCCTTTTCTAACCTGATGTCACGTGTTGAAGTTTGAACTTCAAACTAGTATGATTTTGTCTTGGATGTTGTTGTTCCAGTGAATGCGTGTGTCCCGTTTTACGTACGTCTTTCCAAGAAGACAAGTTTATCATCAAGGCTCAGGACAAACACCTCTTGTGAATCACAAGAAGAAGATGTCCTCGTATACCTCGTCCCAAAAGCCAATTGCTTTGATCCTCCGTTGCCGGATCTTGGGAATTTCTAGGTGCTGCTCCTCCCCAGTGCGCTTGTGCCCCGCCAGCCTCTTCTCCTCCTCGGGATCCAGCCCGAGAGCGCCTCCACCGGACGGCCTGACGAGCAAGGGGCGGTAAACAACCGCCCTCCGGTAATGCACCACCTCGCCGACACTGTACTGCCCCACCGTCTCGCTCTTGCCACGGATGTAAAACCACTCGCCGCGATCCAGGTCGTACACCGCGGGTGGCAAAGGCTCGCCACCGCAATCACCAAGCTTGTGGCTGTCATCGTAGCGATCGCGGCACTGTCCGGCAAGGCACAGGAGATTGCCTTCGGCCTGGCACTCTAACGTCAGAAAATCGTCCCAGTAGACATCCGTAAGGTCCAAGAAGGAACTTGCAACCTCACGGCAGTGGCCACTGCTCCAAGCTTTCTCAACGTCCAAAACGCAAGAAGCCTCTCTCTTACCCGCCATATCCATCGGCTCCTCCATGCTCCACACTCTGCACTGGGGATCACCCTCCTTGATCCGAAAGGCACCAGCCACATAGCGCTCGCCCTTGTGCTCCCATACGAAAGGGACACAAACCAGGGTCGGGTCGTTTAGGAGGGGCTCCTTGTGTGGCACGATGATACATCTAGCAGTGTCGAACAAGAATCCTTCAGGGTAGTCCGCAACCCGTGTCCAAGCCCGCGACCTTGATTCGTAAAAATGGTAGTTGAAGGCGTCTACAACCTCGAACTCTCCGGTAGCTGGGTCCGCGGTCATGCTGTAGACGCGACCGGAGTGCACCTGAGGCGCAAGGCGTGGGATCCTGACCCACTCGTTGGTTGCGGGATTTCCCACCACCAACTCCACGCCGGGAGAGGCATCGTCGGCCCAGGACGGGAGCCTGACGAGGACGAGGCCATTGGAGGAGGCGACGATGTCAAAGGAGCCGGGTGGGAGAGGTATCTTCATCCATGGTGGCAGCGGAGAGACTGTCCGCGATTTTGGGGTCCAAACGCAGATTTGCTGTGGTCGAGGGATACGCTCCCAGTTGCCGTTGTAGGCAGTGAGGAGGACATAATACTCGCCGGGCTGCTGCGCCCGCGCTGCGCTAAACTCGGGGGATCTGATGATGGATCTCCATTCCTTGCAGACGCCAAGAGCTGGCAACAACGAGTCCCAAGCGAGTAGGAGCAGGATGCGCACCAGGAGATCATGCCCAAGAAGCTCCGCGATCATTCTTGCGAACCTAAAAGTGAATATATCAGCTACTATATATATATATAGCCCAACCTGTCCTTAATATTCTTAATCTTATTGTTGCCACATATTTTTTTGAGAGATGTACTTTCATGCAATCCAAAAAAATGCAAATGTGGCGCGTTCCAAATGGTGAGGTTCAAATAGAGGTTATGGAATGCCATAGAGAATTTATAGAAAAAAAGAGAAAAGAAAGCAATGAGACCAAAGACATGTAATCATGCCCCTCTGATTTTTTTCTTTTTTGTTTCGATTGAAATCTCGTCTCAAGGATTTCCTAGCAGACGCTCAACAGCTGCATGTACATTGCCATTGGTTGCCGACAAGGCGCGGATGTTTTCTTGCGTGTCATAGAAACCCATGTCTTGAAGTTGCGATAACTGCGTCGCATACAGTTCCTCCGGGGGTAGAGCGTTCACTGCCAACACAAGAATCAAAGAAAAACACGATGTACAGCACTGGAAAAACAGTAAAATCAAAGTACAAACCTTCGGGAGTCGCACCAAAATTGCTTCCAAGGCCGCCAAACATTCCTAGCAACGAGTTTAAATCGACATTGCCAGCGGCTCCTCCCAAGCCTCCTTGGCCCAAGCCTTGGTCCCTAAGAGAAGGAAAATGGTGTAAGTAAACCATAGAGTTTTCAAGAGTGACAACTTACTGCCCTGGCTGCTGTCGACCAAGGTGGCCTAGCAAACTCTGCTGGAGCGCAAGCATTTGCTGTGACCACAGCGTGAGGGAGAAGAAAGTTAACAATAGAAAAGGAGAAAAGGGAAAGGAAAACCTGTAAGCTCTCCGGACTGGTCATCTGCTGGAGAAACTCTGGGTTTTGCATCATTTCTCTGAACTGGGGGTTGGCATTCAGTATATTCCGGAGCTGCGGATGCATGTTAAGGACCTGCAAGGATCACGAAAGCCATGACTGCTTTTCAATCATCAATCCGCAAACACACAGACCTGCTGAACGTACTGGGGGTTGGAAAGAACTGACTGCATTGCCTGTAGCATTCCCGGGTTTTGCAACATCTGCTCGATCCCACCCAGTCCTCCAAGCCCGCCCAGCGCGCCCAAGCCTCCAGCGTTACCATCACCCATGCCTCCGAGAAATCCCAAAGGCGGAAGCGTACCGAGTTGTTGTCCTGGGGTGGTGGTCGTCTCTCTCGCTGTACAAGACCAAAGGAAGTCAATGGAAAGCTCGAAAGAGAAGGAACCAAGTACCCGCGGGATTCCAAGGATTTGGAAGAGGAGCGGTGTTGGGAAGCACGGTAGCTCCCGTCCCCGCCGCTGGTGTTTGGTTCGGATCGCCAGTCCCGGCCGCTGGCGCCGTGGTAGCCGCTGGAGCTCTTCCCATCAAAGCGGCAAAAGGATTGGCCTGAGCGTCGGCTCCCTCGGCCCCGGTGCCACCCATGGTGGCGGCATTGAGCAGCGGCTCCTGGACGGTCTCATACATCCTCCGCAGCATGTTGAACCCCTCGGGCGAGGCCTCGATGTTGCTCATGGCCCGGTCGGTGTTCCTCATCATCTCCCTCATGAGCTCCGGGTTCCTGGCGGCGTCGAGCGTCTGGCGGAGAGTGGCGGGATCGTTGAGGATGTGCGCCAGGTCGGGGTTGCGGTCGATGATCTCGCGCATCTGCGGGTTGTTCATGATGAGCGTCCGCATCAGCTCCGGGTTGCTCATCAGGCTCTGGATGGCGGGCATGTTCATCATCTCGCGCATGAGGTTCGGGTTTTGCATCAGCTGCTGCTGGACCTGCTGGAACTCGGGCAGCGTCGTGGCGGTGCCCAGCGGCGCCGCGGCCCCGCCGAAGAATCCACCGTGCATGTTGGCCCCAATCCCGCCGGGAGGAGCTGCTGCCGGGGGAGCCGCTGCTGGGGATGGGGACGCTGGCGATGGCGCGGCCGGTGCGCCGCCGGGAGGCGGGGCGCCGCGGACGAGGTGGACTGTGTGATCGTTTTGTAGATCTGGAAGAATTTCGCGAGGGGAGAAGGGAGGAGTAAATACCCTAGCCAGAGAATCCCAGAGAGGAAAATTTCTTGCGGCTTACCGTAGCTGTCGAGGGAATTCTCATCCTTGAGCACGCGTCCCTTGTAGATTAGGCGCTGCTGATCGGCCGGGACCTCGGAGCGCTCGACGAGGAGGGATTTCAATCCGCGGACTGTGCTCTTGAGATCCACCGTGACCGAGAACTTGGTGCCGTTGGAGCAGCGAATGTGAACCGTGGCCGCCGCGCTGGGAGCTGCCGTCGTCGAGGCCTCCTCCGCGCTCATTGCCCTATCGACGATCTAAAAACCCTAAATTGGCGAGAAAAAAGGAAAAGTCTACAAGGATTGGAAAAACTTTTTAGGGCGTGGATTACGGGCAGTGGATATCCGCCGTCGATTGGGCATCATTCCATAGATCACCCATGTAGAAGTGGAGGATCTTTTCTACGATCCACTCGTAGTCCGTCTCGTCGCCGATGGATTTGAGTCCTTGTCTCACGATCTCGTCCGTGACCCACCCGTTTTTCCTGTCAATCTCGAGCAGGAATTCCAGGACTTTGGGATGGTGCGAGTAATCTGGATGCCTAGAGCACGGAAAAACGGTCAAAACCTTTCCTTGGACAGAGGAAACTTACCCGCACAAAGTGAGAAAGTGGTGAGGTTTGTACTGTTGGTTCCACGAGAGCGATCGTTCGATCGATCCAGATGAGTGTTAGAACCAAGGAAAGCACTCTTAGTTTGCTTACCAATGCCTGGTACTGAGTTATATTGTTGGAAGCAAGCACCCAGAAGTCCGGAGGAAGCGAAAGGATCGCATCGTTGTGATGGTAGTGAAGCTTGAACGATTCCTTGCTTGTTTTGAATAGCTGCCTGGCCAAATCGGTGAGCTTGGCTTCTTTCACGGACACCTCCGACCCCTGCCAAGCTGAGGCTATTTACTCAGTCCTCCGAGAGCCAAAAAGAGAATAAAAAAACGAAGAAAGAGTCTACCTTTGGATTCGGAGCCACGGATCCTCCAAAAGCAGCAGCAATCGCTTGATGCCCAAAGCTGATGCCGCAGGTCTTTACCTTGTTCTTGTCCAGCCATTGAATTTCCTGTTCCAAAGAAAGAAAGAAAAAGAAGGATTGGCTCTTTCATCGACGTGAAAGCAAGCTTGGAAACCTGAAGAAGCCGTCTGATCCACGGCTTTGGCTCGTACACGCCGCTGAGAGAGCCCGAGATGAGAACCCCATCGAAGTTTTGGAATCGATCAGGATATTGGCGCTCCGTGACATCGAAGCCTGCATGGATCTGATTAGAGAACACGAATTTCTCCGGCATTTGTTCCTACTCAACTGGTAAGCGTGATCGATGAATGCGGGATAAAGCGCGCCGCAACGTGATCGAATGCCGCCTGGAGGAGCGCGAGATAGGATCGGCACGATTCCGAAGCTGTGCTGGGCAGATGCTGCGCCAGATGCTCGCATTCGTAGAGCGCAATCCGGAGTGCTCGGCGTCGCGACCACATCTAATACCCTAAATAAAACAAAAGAAAACCCTAAAAACAGGATGCCGCCAATGCCAATGCTGATGCTTTGCCATGACCAAAGGATTTGAGCTCGCGTATATGGTTATCTGATCTGCTAATACTCTCATTAGACTGGTCTTCTTCTCCAAAAGACCACCCTGCCAAGGATGCTCTTAGCTGCTGCTGTTTCCATTATGTGAGCCAATTCTTCCACATATATAAGCCTCTTTAGGGAACTGAAGAGGGCACGTCATTTGTTTCAGTCCAAGTACCTGAATCTAGATCATACGAGAGACTACTTACCCATGGCCAGCTTGACCACGGAAGTAGACACAAATATCGAGTCTATGAGTAATGTGATCACCTCACCAGACTCCACAGAAATTTCCTCAATTCTGAACTTACACTTCCGTTCCACATTGAACCACACCATGTAGAGCTTTCCCCTCCAATTACTAACAAGGCAGACCGACTCGCCCTTCTTGACATTCAGACAGAGATTTGTATATGCAACAGAGTCGCTTTGCAACATCAAACTGGACAGCATAAGCCGAACACTTCCTATGACCATGGGCCATGTTTCACAGCACACCGTTATAGTTTCTTATTAAACGCATAGCATCGTGGTAGTTTTAATTTATATGTCTTATGCGTTTGATGAAATCTATGTCATTAAATTTTGACAAGTTTTCTAGCATGAAGGAATAAAAAAATTAAAAAAGACCATATCACATATTATTGTGATAATTTTCCTAAAGTCAATACTTTTTACACTATCTCTTATTAAACCACGAATAATAAACTTTTCCGTTTGATTTAGGTGGTAGTGAATAGATCTAGAATATGCTTGAATATTCTAGGATATTCTATTATCTAAAAATTGTTATTCATTTAGAATAATCTTGTATTTATAATTTATAAACTTTCCTAAACACTTTAGTATATACTTGTTTATTCTACTATCTAATGGTTCTACCATAAGGGCATTGATCTGGGGAAACCACAGATTGACCTTAATAATGGTTTTGAGTTCTTGAGCCAGAATGCATGGACGCTCATGACTGGAATGGTTGATATGCAATATAATTAATCTTGCTTTATAAAATACAAACATCTTTATTATTATTAAAAAATATTAAATATATCATTAAGCACGCCAAAAATTGAATAAATTATTAAAATTAGACCTTTGTTTGTATATTTAGATAGTTATTTTCATTTGAAAAACGTATTAGGTAAATCATAAAATCACAACATAATGATTTCTTGCATTGCCTCAACTTTAAAATATATTGCAAAACTATAATTAAATAAAGGCTTGCTACAGGGTTTGTGAAAATTCTAGCAACTTCATATGATTTTAGTACATTATATCTTTTTGTGTTTTCACTTTTCATATATGTCATTTCTTGTTGATCTCTCATTTCATGTCATAAAGTATCTATATATATATATATATATACATATAAATTTCTAAGCACACAAATAAAAATCACTTAATATTCTTAGGTAATCATGATTTACATACAATATTGCTACAAAATTAAGATGTAGTAAAGAGATTTTTAATCAACAATTCATATGAATGAAAAACTTTCTTAACAACCCTTATTTTGGCTATAAATAAATATTTATAATATAAACTACTTCATTATAAAGGTCTTTGTAAACAACATGAAAATGGCATAACTACATAAAACTTTAGATATTGTGTTTTTAAATATAATTGTTTATCCTAGATTTTAATTTAGCGTATTCCTTATCCCATAACAATATAATATCTGTTTGGGGATGATATTGTTCTAAACTTTGAAAAATATTACACTTTGAATTATCAGGAAGCCATCCCTAAGCTAGAAAATAGTTAAAATTAATTAACAAATTTTAAATATTTATTTGTAAAACTTACTAAACTTTGAAGTTGTTTTTGTTTGGGCCTCAAAATGATGTTATGGTTATAAATTAGTGAAACATTGATCAAAATTATAAAAATTTAGTTTTTGATAAAAAATTAAAATTTTGCAACTAGTTTTATTCTAAAAATAAATGTGAATATAAAACAATTGTATAAAACTTTATTAGGTAATTTTAAAGTCACTTTAAATACATTTACATACATACCTTAAATGGTGGCAAATAGATATAGAATGTAAACTTTTAGTGATGGATTATTCAAGTTTAAAGTTTATAAAAGTTGTAAGGTATTCTTTCCAAAAGATTTTATTCAAGTAACTTATAAAAGAAACTAATATAACAATTTACATATGAATTCATCCATGAAATTTTAACTTTTATATTTGTTGTAAGCCCAAAAAATTTATATCATTTGATATAGACAAACAATTTAAATTATATGCAGTGAGTGAGTTTAATTAAGAAAACACTGATTTTTTTGCTTGCTCACTGTTGCATATGCATGCATCATAATGTTCTAAGAGCCAATAGTTATATATACTAATTAATAATTTTTTTACACTAGTAAAGTTTTATATAATAATATTTTTCATTTTCATTCATTTTAGTAAGTTTAACCAAGATATTTATGAATATTATATTCCAAAATAATTAATAAAAGTTATTGTGCATTTACTTGCATAACAATCAAAATTTATCGACATTATGGTTTGGTTGTCATATACAATAAAAAAATAGCTTGCAATATCAATAATAACTAATTTATTATTATAATAAATAAAATAACTTTTTAATAAAATATAGTACATAAAGTAATAAAAAATTGTCTTTTAGTAGGGATGAATGTTAGCTTATAAGTACTTTATTCCCAATATAATAGCCAATTTATATTGAGCCAGAAAAAAAAATTATATTAGTTGTTTTTAAAATGATTTATAACCTTTTTTTTAATCATGAGACTTTATTAACTTTACTATAAATTTCTCTTTAATGTTTTTTCCACTTTTACTCTACTTTTTAAAAGTTCTTTAACATCTTTAAACTTTTCTATATTTTAGTATTAGGAAAAAATTTGTGTATAAGAAAGCACTTTTTGCATATATCTTTCAAACTTCATAACTCTTAATTAACATTAAAGAGAGTTATAAGCATTTGGAAATACTAAATAAAAATTTCCATGTATGCCTTTATATTCCCAAAACTATGCTATTTTAAAAAAAACAAAAGAGCATTTAAAATTTAAAATGTAAACTATTCTAACAGAGGTGTGATATCTACAAATGTTTGAGTAATTTATGCAGCAACTCTTAATTTTCTTTGGTTTTTATATACCTTTTACTGACAATGGGCAAAGTGTATTATTGAAATCATGAAAAACTAGCTGCTAATGGATTTAGAAGAGGATTTAAAAGTTTAGAAAGGCCTTAAATGCTACCATTCATGTGTTGCTTTCAAGCTACATGGCTATATCAAGCGTACTAGCAAGGAATTATCCTTGAACATCAACATAAATCCAAGTTTATCTTTCTAAGCTACCACATGTTCACCAACAATGGTGATACAGCATGTAGTCATTGGACAAACATGTCTCTTTCCCCTCAAAGGAAGTCCCGGCACTTGTCCAAGGTTTTCCAGGCATGCATAGGAACAGTGGAAGGTGACTCTCATTCATGGCTCTTCTTGTTGTGAGAAGTTGGTGGAGACCTTGGAGGAACAGCCACCTTGATCTGGAGTTTAGGATAGTCACAATGTGAGAGGATTACTGCTTTTGTGTCAAGCTTCCAGACTGAAACAAGCAGATTAGCCATTGATAAAAAATTCAAGACCATAGATACATAATTTTTCAAGAAGATAGCTGCTCACGACAAATTTCACACTTTGGGATTAGGATAACATGATGAATGCAAACACAGATGAGGAGCATGGCCAATTTACCTTGAAAGAGAGGGCAGCCTTATTTGATGGGATATGTGTTTGTTGCTTATAAGAAGATCCTTACATGTCAGACCTTAAGGACCTTAAGGACATATTACTTTCATTCCTCAGAAGAGTTTACTTCCATGGAGAGCTGTTTGATGTTGCAAAAGCACATGTTTGAGATGAGTATAATGTGCTGGCAGGAGTGGGACGAAGAACTCATTGCCCCTAGCTGCACTTAACTTTGAAGCTACTGAGTTCCACTACTGCTGATTATAATTCTAACCCTACTTTTTAGGAAATATTTCACAGTCATTAACCCTGATTAGCAAGTTGCCTAGATCATCCTCATTGACATTTGGGATAGAGTATATGGCAAATCTCAATTATTAATTGCTAAGCCATGGCAAACATATTGAAGCATATGTTGAGAAGATCAAGATGGTAAGGTAGAAACTATTTTCTTGTTGTTTTTCTAGGAAAACTATGCAAATATGTGAGATAAGCTCAAACCTTCTACCTCAAATGCCAATTTTGAGGATCTCACTGAAACTCTAGTTCCTTGAGAAGAGACAAGTGAATTTTTATTAAAATTGACTTTCTCAATTTAATTTAATTTGATATTATTATTACATGTTTTAACACACATGGTATTCAGCCTTGATTACAAACGAATTAAAGAGAAGTTTAACAGCAGAAAATTGAAACCATTGGTATCCTAGAATATACTATATTCCTTACACTTAGTTATAGCAAACTGAAATGGAGCAATGGTCACAAGCAGAGAAAAGCTTTGCAACCGGCGAAACTCCAAGTCCCAGTTGTGTGGAAGATACTGGATAATTGGAGGACTTCTGATCTAGATACAGCCTTAATAAAAAACAAAAATCGATCGAACATTTCTCATTCCTTCTATTTGCTTTAGTCGTTTTTTTTCCACTGTTATGCACGAAGAGGATGAATGCCACGAGCAAGTAGAGTTGCTCTATAAGTACATGGCGAGAGTAGAAAACTAGTGTGGAAAAAAAGAGTATGCAATAGCAGAACATTCTATAATGGAAGGATTAGGGCTCTAGACCCGAAGTAGGGTTCTTTCCCAAATTACGATCGATCGATGAGGAGCGATGTGTGGAGCGCACTGGGCCCGTCGCTGGCCGGCGCAGTGTTTGGCGCGGGATGGTGGTTCTGGGTGGACGCCATCGTTTGCAGCAATGTCACGGTGCCCTTTGTACAGTATTTGCCAGGTCCGCAGCTAGCTCTGGCTCTTTCTGTGGTGCTCGAATTTGTCCTTCTCTTCCTCTGGCAGGGATCTGCGCGTCGCTCGCTGCGCTCATGTTCAATTGCGTGAGACGAGAGGAGCTTCAGGATTACTCTCCCTACGATGATGAGAGCTGCAGGTACTTTGCGTGATTTCTATCTCTTAGCTTTGTTTTGTGTGATTTCTATCGATCTCTCGAGCTTGAGTTGGACGTCTAGATATGAAGGTAACCAATTGCTATGTTTTGGCAGATCGAGGGCATGGCTGTTCATCGCCTACGTTGTTTCGTTTGTGTCATTGGCTGGATCCGTTGGAATTCTCATCCAGGATTCTTTGCTTCCGACTGGTCCTAGCGCGTGGACGGGCGTGGCTGGAGTGTTGCAATGCTTCTTGGTACTCGTGAGGTAATCAAACACGATTTTTCATCTCCTGCCTTAAGTTTTTAGAAAACTTTCTTCTCGATTGCAGTGGTCTCATATTCTGGACTTCAAGATCGCCCTCTGATTACTACTGAGACAATGTGATTCTGAAGTGTAAACTAAATGTGAAAAGCGTTTTTACCAGATACATCCAGGGGATAGCGAGGGTCAGACTGAATCTGAAGGTCGAGAGTGTTCGATCCACGCTCATCACATCATGGTGATGTTTCATTTTGATACCAAAATTTACCACATGGGTAAACTATACATCAATTTAAACATAACACATTGGAAAATCATATGGGGTTGCTACGATTGCGACACCTTATATAACATTTTATTTGAGGTTCTCTTTCACTGTCCGATTGAAAACCACTTTTGTCGTGAGGGCCAAGACAAGCAGATGAGAGGAAGCAACGCCAGACGAGGCCGAGAAAGCAGCTACACCACAACAAAGTTGTGACAATGCCAGTTGACAAGTCAAGGAAGTAAACGCACCTAGAGTGGAGGAAGAACCAAGACCAACCGAGGTGGAGAATCCAACAGCAGCAGAAGATGTTCCAGCCAAGGAAGAAGAAGCAAACGGCCGCTGACCCTGAGGAGGCAAAAGTTGATCCTGTGGAAACCACTCGATCCTGTGGAAGCGGCCACAGTATCTTGCCACTTCCTTTGCTGAGGAGGCAAAGTTGTCACGGCGCGCTTGTAGTTTGGATCTGGCCACGTCTTCCCGCTGCCGTATTTGCTAAACGAAGAGCCGTCAAGCCGCACGAGAAGCTCTCGTCCGACGGCTTGTACTTGGCCAGCCGTCTTCGTCACGAAAACGAGGCCCCCGATCGCTGGAGACTCGATCGCCGTGGAAGAGGTGGCGGCAGTGACAGTGCGCCGTAGTACCCCAGAGTGAACTTGAAGCAGTACTCCCTGTAGCTCGTGGTTACGGAAGAGTTGAATTCCAGCGGTAGTGTTAGAGCGGGAGCAGCGGGAGTAGTGGTGTTTGTGACAACAATCACAGCATTGGCAGCGCTGCTCCACGAAGAACCGCCACTCGACGTACTTTGGTTCCACTCGTTGGTTGTTCCATCCAACCAGTGCTCTGCGGTTTCCAAATCTGCTGCGAGCCAGCACCGCTTCTCCAGCGATTGCGGCTGCTGGCCGTTGCCTCCGGCGGCATTTTGGTTGTTCCACTGAGAATCCCGCCTGATCCAGCATCGCTATATCCCGGCCCTGCCCGAGCTGAGTGGAAGATCAGCGCAAACCTGCATTGCTGCTGCTGCTGCTGCTTGGATGCTTGGATACCGCATCCTTGTCCAGCGCCGCGCGAATCCCCGTCTGTTTGACGCTCTAGGGTTCTTCGCGTCAAATATCTCTGCAAGAATATTCTGGAATAAGCCCATAAGCTAAACAAATATACTTTTTCTCTAAAGGCATATTCAGGAATAAACCCGTTCTTAGACTGCAAACAAATATTTAAAAGAAAATGGATGAAAACAAAAGAGCATCCGACCAGATTCAATGGGATTCTTTGCAGTGATGGCATCCACGGCAAAGACCTGTGTCAACTTCGAAGTGCAAGCTCCTCCCGTCGTTTCGGAGCATAAGGGACTGGATGTAACACAGATCGATGCACACACCATCGGCAGGGAAGCAAGCAGGAGCAGGCTCGTCATCCATGACCATGTCCATAGCCAGCTTCAGCTGGAACGCTGGAATCCCCACCCTGTCACATGCACCATCGCCAAGCCCCACACCCCGCAGCGATCCCCCTCGCTCTGCAACCAATATCAACGCTGCTGCTCTCCAGGTCTGCGGTCCCAAAGCTCACTGCATCCCTCAATACAATCCTCACACCACCGCCACCGCCACTGCTGCTGCTAGCACCACCAGTGCTCTTCACTCTCTCGAACAAGAGTGCCAGGAGCTGTCCCCTCCCCACGTACTCTTTGAAGCCCAGGTAGAATCGGATCCCTCGACCGAAGCTGCCATCGGCTGAGGCAGCGAGGAACTGGTCCGCGTCGGCCACAAGCTTGGGCACGGTGCGCGACTTGGCAATGCTAAGCACTCCCTGCGGCCAGTCATGCCCAACCAGCATCCTTCCCATCTTCACATCTGCTGGCGACACATGAGATCCACAAGGAGCAAAACGCGCAGAGGTGCCACTCGCGTTCATCTTCACCATGCTGCCAACATCCAGTGCGAAAGGCATGGATTTCTATTTTTGGATGAAGTGTACAGTTCATATACATTAGATAGGGATTTTGGGCTAATGGAATATACATATTTCTGTATTCTACACAATCTAGGCAAATTGGAAAAAATTTTATTTTACATATCAATCTTGTATGGAAAAGCAACTAACTTGCTACTGCTCCCACTGTTGTGGATTTGGCACTGGAGGTTGCATACAAGAGACATTTGGTCTACCTTTGAGATGTAGCATACCTTCCAAGGTTGATTTTTTTATGAAGTGTGCAGTTACAATGCCATATTTTAATAACCATTAGATTGAGTTCAATCAAAACCATTCACTTTTATATATCAGTTAGGGTTTTTGGGCTAATGGAATATACACATTTCTATATTTTATACAAATCCAATCACTCCTCAATGATAATTCAAGTTGCCCCTCACCTTCAACAATGTAAGTGCATAAAATATATATTATGTTTAGATCTAGCTTTTGCATTATGTATATCTCATTTTCCTTATAACTTTTGAATATCTTCTCTTTTTTTTTTCTTCTTTTCATTCATTTTCATGGTAGAATAACACTTTCCTCCTCTTTTGACTTTGAAGTAACATGTAAACTCCTTGAATTTAAATTTTTAATACTATTCACTCAAAGACATTTAACCCCAAATTTAATCCCATTTAAGAGCATTTTTAGCTGAGGGTGCAGCTAGAGGTTTAGAAAATGCTATAGATATGAAAAATGCATTTTATTACACAGGGAATTAGAGGGAAGTTTATATGGTACAACCACAAGGATTTGAAGTGCCAAGAAAAGAGCATTTGATATGTAAGTCAAAAGAGGTCAATCACCAAGAACATACCATAAGACTATACATGATCTTTGGGATTTATAGATAATGGATAGTAAAGGTTTCCCTTTTAAGGATAGTGGGGTTTCCTTTTTTCTGCCTAGCCACATCACTAAATATTCTTTATATATTCTAAAAAAGAGAATATACTTGTATATACCTTATAAGATTTAAATATATTAATAACAAAGTAGCTTTTTGCATTTGATCACAAAAATGTATGATTTGTGTATCTAGTTATTTGAAAGGCATGCTATAGATCAAGATCACCAATCACATAACTATTGTCTCAGCAAAAGTAGAAATGCCCACACTTTGACTTGATTATAAATAATAACATGAAGAAAAAGAAGTTGGCCCCAGCCAACTCGCTACTTTGCTCAACCTCTTAACCATCTCTTTAGAGCAACTAAATAGCCAAGCCTCTAAATAACTCCACTCCTATTGCCTAGATTAGCAATCTCTTATTATGTAGCCACCTCAACAAATCCGCTAGGCAAAAATACTTGCCTCTAGCTAAATCATAAAGTCCTAGATTGTGATGCTCACTAATCCATAAGACCATTTTAGTTTGAGGCAGTTTGAATTCTTATTTATCAGCTTGGTCCTCAAACCATTTGGTCTTATTTTTTTTGTTTCGAAAGTGCTTATTTACTCAAATGCCCCTTGGCACAAGAAAAAAATGATGTAGGATAGCTTTTTTCAACCAAAACTAAAAAAGCAACATTTGAGACTAAATAGTTTTATTGTAAATTCTTGAATTTAGACTTCCCAAGAGGTTACCCAGCATAGTACTATACAAACCCAAGGTTATTTAACCCAAGTATCCTATAATCTTTAATTGATTGGAAAAGAAGGTGCATTTTTTTTAAAAAACCCTTTCCTTTTATATTTGAATCATTATGGATCGTTTTTCAAATTATTCTCTTTTGTTGTTTATGATTTATCATGCTTCCCTGCAAGTTTACATCCTCATGAATGGAAGCTAAGAGCCACATCTCTTCTTAAAACTCCACTCTCTTAACACCCTATCCTTTAAGTCAAGCTTAGTCGGAGGCAAACTAAACTTACCAAATATCAATATCAATATATGATGTGATTCCCTTAACTAACCAATAGAGTCAGACATAAGACTTCTCTAATACCAAATAAAAGCTTTTAAATTTCAAACTTCCTGAGAGGTCATTTAGTTTAGTACTATATAAATCTAATGATGCTTTGATTGAAAAAGGGGGTGCACTTTTTGTTCATGGGTTCTTTCTTTTTATATTTGAGCCTTTATGAATCATTTTTTAAGTCATTCTTTTTAATTATTTACACTTAACTTATGGTGGCTTTTTTTTTTTTTTTTTAATATGCACTTCTTAAAAAGTATTTGGTGGCCAAATGTGTGATGTTGCCCACCCTATTGTTGTGGCCCTTTGACAAAAAAAGGATTGTGATTGAATTGATTAGCTAATACAAGTTATTTATGCAACCAATGCTTAGCAATTCAATTAGGGGTTTCTCATACACATTAGTAGCAGCAGGAGGATACCACTTTAATCTAATGTAGAGCCACCACTTTGCAAAGGGATTTACATTTAGATGCTTAAGCCTAAATGTGTTGAGAACCAAATCAACTTTTCTAGTGACATCTAATATTTATTATAGGGGTGGTGTGTGACATGATTAATAGTGTTAATTACATAGCTCTCATCTATAGCATCCACATTCTCATGTGGCTGGGTAAAAAGATGAAAAAGCATAGAAGGTGGTCCTCTTAACTAGATTGATCTTATAAAAAAAGAGATGATAAACTTGAAAAATTTCTGATTTTTATAATTGTATAGATTTTAAATAAATTCATAGATTTAAATTTTAAAATTATTAAATAATAATTTATATTTTATAAGAATAAACTAGAATATTCAGTGATGACTACCAAGCACCAAAAACCCTTAAAGTGGACACACTCATGGATAGCTGACCATTATAGATGACCTATATTGGAGCAAAAAAAGAGTTTTAAACAAATTAAATCTACTTTATCATAAAGATTTAAAATGACTGGTCTTGGAGAGATCTTATATTGTCATAGTTTACAATTTGTAAGAGATAGAGGAAAAAAATTAATATTTCTCCATCAATAAAAATTTACAATGAAATTAATTGATTATTATTTTGTTGGAAGCTTGAAATATATAGTTCATACACCAGCAAGTACATCCCTCAACCATATACCATGTGCTCAAATGAGGCTTTGGGATGAGGGGGAGAGAAAAAAAATGGAAAGTAAGCCATTTAGGAATATGGTGAGAAACTTCTTGTACTTATCGACAATATCAAGTCCTAATTTTGCAATAGTTGTATTATTTGTAAGCCAATACATTCAGTTTGTAACTATAAATATTTTCAAATACCTTCATGAAACTCCAATATAGAGAATAAAATACTCAGGGAGTATAAGCTCATAGGGAACATTACTAACTGGATTTGCTAATGCAAATTTACATACGAGACAAAGACATTAAAAAATCTATTTTAGAATGGTGTTTCAGAATGTATGGAAGAATGTATGAAAGAGTTATAAGTTACATGTGAAACAGAGTATATAGCTATAGCATCTGCTACAAAAGAGACAATTTGGACTAAGCTTTTAGTGGACTTAGTTGTGGAACAAGGGATACCCACCCAAATTTACAATGATAATACCTTTGCCATTATATTGGCTCAAATCTAGTGCTTCATAGCACCTTTCTACCTTATTCAAATCATCCATAGACAGGTAATTTTAGATTACATACCTGCTAATGATATGGTTATAGATATTTTAACATAGTGTTTTAAGAAAAAGATCTCTAAATTCAGAGCAATCTTAAAAGTTTTACTTAAGGGGGAGTATTACAAGTAAGATTGTTATGTTAGCCAGTTGGAGGTGAGTAGTGAGCAACTTGGAGAATGAGTAAGAATGGGCAGCTAGAGAACCAAATGACACTCAACAAAGAATCACTAGGGGATATAATTATAAATTAGAGAGGGAATCAGAGTGGACCTTACTTCAATAGAAGTTTGGTAGTTTTCTTCACATTCATTCATTCATATACTATTTGCACAGTCTGCCCCTTAAAAACCATTAGCGTTTTAGGAGTATAATTAAATGATTTTTTTTTCTAAGCTACTTAGCAGCATTCAAATTTCTTGAAAGGGTACAATGATTCATCAAATCACTATTAGAACTGCATAGACATCATTTCATTTGAGTTGGCTACTGAAGCATTATAAGACTTTATAA